CAGCTTGACAGACCTTGGGAAAAGAAGATGAGTAAATCAGTTGGAATCCTTTGGAAAGACTGAGTCCCCCTTTCTTTTCTACTGGAAAAGACCTCCATCTTTTCAAAGGCATTTTTAAAATACAGAGATAATGAAGGCATATTTACTGTGAAAAATCCAAACAATGCAGAAGCATAAGGAATTAAAAAAATTTAATACCTCTTCACATATACCCCAAAGTCCACTCACCCCCACTGCTACTTGTTTGCATCCCTCCAGCCCTGTTTTTATGCATTTCCCTGCATTTAACAGATGCACACATACACCGTATTGCTTTGCTGTTGTTGTCATGGAGTCAGTTTCAACTCAGAACGGCCCCATGTGGCAGAGTAGACCTGTCCCATAGGGTTGTCTAGGCTGTAATCTTTATGGGACAGATGGCCAAGGCTTTCTTCTGTGGAGCCACTGGATGGGTTCGAATCACCAGCCTTTTGATTAGCAGCCGAGAGCTTAACCATTGTGCCACCAGGGCTCCTTATATTGCTTTTGGGTGTTTTTTGTCTTGGTTTGTTTTTTATGTTGTTTCATATTGTGGTAAAAATATACATAACAGAACATTTTCCAATTCAGCAATTTTTACATGCATAATTTAGTGACATGACAGCATGACATTCATCATGTTGTACAACCATTACTACTATCCTTTTCCAAATTATTTCACCATGATTAACAGAAATAGAGTGGGGTTTGTTGTAATTCTTTTTATAAAATGCTGTCAAGCTATATGTACTATTTGGTAACTTGTTTTCCTTACTAAAACTGAATTTTGGAAATATTTCCATGGCAACATATCTGTTCTGCTGCCCACTGTACCACCAGCATCTATAACAGTGATGGATAATTCTATGCATATCTGTTGAATGAATGGTGTTCTCCAGTGTTTAACAATATGTCAAACAATGGACACTTAGGTTACTTCCAGGTTTTCACTATTACAAATAATGTTCAACCAACATTCTTCCACATCTATCTTTTCGTTCCATCCTCTTCTCAGAATGACAGCTTCTTCACCTTCAGTTCCTATTCTCCTGTTTGAACACTTCACAGCATTCACTTCCCTCTTCTAGGGTCCCAGTCTGGCTTTTTTTTCTCTTGCGGGGCCTTTCCCTGTAGTGCTGGAGACGGAAGAGCACTAACAGTAATGAGGTCTGACAAGTGTAGGAACAGGAGCCTGTTTGCAGCCTCCCTCCTCGGCTCCCACCACCCTACAACACAGAAACTGCCCTTCCAATTCACTGGTGACCTTCTAACTGCCAAAGCCAACAGCATCTTCACACTCCTCCCCTTATACAACCTCTCTGCAGCTTTTGACACTGTGGACCGCTCCCTTATTTGTTATTTTACATTTAAAAATGTTTGGCTTCCCCCTTCTTGAAACTACTCCCTTAGGTTGTACAGTTTTGGCCTGTTTCTCCTCTGGCCTTTCCACCTCTTTCTTTAGCCTCTGCTCACCCCTTCAGTGGTGGGGTCCTGCCCAAGTCCTCTCCTCTTCTCTCCATCCTCATGCCTCCACCAGCCTCTCTGTTCTGAGGAGTTCCAGAACTGTTCACCTGGCTCTGACCGCCCCCTGAGTACCAGGCACACGCAGTCATAAATCTATGAGTCTAATGCCATGCTCACTGTCTGAATGAAATGCTACAGGAACTCAATGCTGTCATTCAACAGACATCTGCTAAGTGTCTACTTCAGCGGTTCCCAAAGTGTGGTCTAGGAACCCTAGGTGAACTCTGAGACCCTTTCAGGGCATCTGCTCGGTAAAAACCGTTTTCATAATACTACTAAGGTGTTATTTGCCTTTTTCACTCTCATTCGCTCATGAGGACACAGTGACCTATTCCAGAAACAACAGGTCATGTGATACTGCAACAGTTTGAGTGCAGAAGCAAGTATGAGAATCCCACTGTCTTCTATTAAGCCAGGCATTGAAGAGATTTGCAAAAATGTAAGTGTAAATAAAAATGACTAATTTTGTTTTATTTTGGAAAATATAATTATTTTCATTAAAAATATCATTTATGTTAATGTAATTGATTTATTATTCTTTTAAATAAACATTTTTTAAAGTTCTTAGTTTTAATTTTTAATAAGGTACGTATCACTAGATACATATAACCAACGTAAAAGCTCTTTGGCGTCCTTAACCAAAAAGTTTCTTCTTAAATCCAGAGCACTTCCAACATGTATTTCCATGTAGATGGTTCCATATTGGTAGCCTACAGACATGTCACCTTTCTCACAGGTCCCCAGTTCAGAAAGCCCACTGTCTTTCCCTCCCTCAGTCTGCCCTCTCTCAAATTCCTCTCCTACTGCCCACTTGCCCCACCTTAGTCCAGGCCTTCATCATCCCATACATACCTAATTAATTGCAACAGCCTCCTAAAGGGTCACCCTTTCTCATTCTCATCCAGTCCCTCCCCCATATGTAGCCAGCACTGTCTTTCTAAAAATAAGTCTAACCATATCACCTCTCTGCTTAGAAATATCCTCTAATCTCTTGTTGACTACAAGAAAGAAATCAAATTCCCTGAGCAAACTGCTCTAGACCCAGTCCACCTCACTACCCACCACTGCCCACCTAGTCCTTTCTCGAGAGCCACGCTGAATCTCTCACTGTTGTCTAAATATTCTAGAACATTCTCATTGCTGTGCTTCTGCATAGGCTTTCCTTTCTACCTGGAATGCTCTTTTTTATTTGGTAAATGTCAAGATTCATCTCAAAATCCAAAGTGGTCATCCCTGACTCCACAGACGGAATGGTGGCTTTGTCCTCTCATCTCCCACAACACTTTGCGTACACCTTTGTTATGACACATTGAATGGTCAGTTGTCTATTTCTCATGAGACTCTGAACTACTCATGATTTCTGAGCTATTTGCCTTGGAATCACCAGCACCTGGCATGGTGCCTAGTATATTTGAGGAGTTGAGTATGTTTTTCTTTAGTAAATGTCCAAATCTGAAGTTACCGTCCTTCCTTTCGATCCTGATCTCACTGAATGGCATCAACCAGAGATCCAAATAAAAAGTTTTGATTGATTTACATTTTTGCAAAGTCATCTTTGGTTCCTCCCTTTCCCTCACTTCTACATCCAATTGGTCATTAGTTCTATTTCCATAGCCATCCTCTCCTTTCCATCCACACTACCACTGTGCTAGTTGATTCTTTTATTCATTTAACAAACATTTACTGATCACCTATCAGGCAGTTTTATAAAAACAAAATAATACACAATCTAATTTCAATTTGTTCACAATCTATTCAGGAAAACCAAACCAAAAAAAAAACCCGTTGCCATTGAGTCAATTCTGACTCATAGTGACCCTATGGAACAGAGTAGAACTGCCCCATAGGGTTTCCAAGGAGCAGCTGGTGGATTCAAACTGCAGACCTTTTGGTTAGCAACCGTTGCTCTCAACTACTGCACCACCAAAAACGTAAACAAGCCATAAATAACAATGGTAAGCATACTGCTTTCAATTCTGAAAATGAGCTTTCAAAATACAGGAGAAGGAATGACTTGTCTTCCTTTGAGGGGAAAGGAAAGACCAGAAAAAATGTGATAGAACTGGGCAATGAAAGAAGAAGCCGGTTTATGCAACATATCATCACTCCCGTGGCTTCCTGCGCTGGTCTCCTGACAGCTCCGTCTCCCACTTCCTGTCCAGTTCACTGCACTCTCATTGGAGGAATGTCAAAACAACAACTCTAATCACGGTACCGCACTGTTTTAAGATGCCCATGTCTCCCCACCCTGACCAGAGAAAATGTCAGCTCTTCAGCATGACACTCAATGCCCTTCACAATCAGACCCTGGCCCACCCTCCATCTTGTTGGCCACCTATCTCTAGTCTAGCTTCACCTCTACTCCTTGAGTAGTGACTAGTCCTTCCCTCTCAGATTGGCTGACGCCTTGGGCTGGAGTCCAACTTTGGTCCAATTTCTATGGAGGAAGAGGACACTCACCCGGCCCAGTAGACCAGTCTCACACCACTGCCTGCTGCTCACTGACCCTTAAAGAGTCATGGACCCTCAGGCCTCCGGGCCTTTACTCAGGCTCTTCTCTTTGCCCAGAACACCTGCCCCCTCCACCAGATCTAACCCCACAGCCACATCCTAAAGCCTTCCCAATCCTGATAGCCCTATCTACACTCCCACCTCACCCCGCCCTACACTGTAGTATGCATTTTAGTTTGGAAGAAAGAGAAGAGAAAAGAAGAAAGATGGTGACAGGTGACATGAACATAAAAGCTCATATTCGTGTGGATCTTCTTAGGTTCCACATTGCTTTCATATACAGACTCTTACTTAAACTTCCCTTTCTCACTGTTGGGTAGACACGGTTGATAAAATTATACCTTTTTCACAGGTGAGGAAACCGAGGCTCAGAGGAGTACAGAGGTTATATAACTAGTAAATGGCAGAGCCTGACAGGCAGCAGGTGCTGAATATAATTTGCTGATTTGAGTTTTTTCATGTAATCAGGAAAGAGGCAGCATCTTGTTACTGCAGAAATGGAAAAAACAAAACATGACTGGGTTAGGTGACCTCTTTGGTCACAAAGCCATTCAGTAGCAGCTACTTTATTTTGTAACAATGCATTCTGGTGTGGCAGAAATGTGAACATTTTCAAAATGGAAAAAAAGGTGGGGGGGACTGTTACCTGGGCTGGGGGAGGGGCGTGGCCTTGTGATGCCCTTGTCTGCTGCAGCTCTACAGAACCCTCCAGTCATAACTCACATTACTTTTCTGAGGAAACTTTCGAAAGGTTATGTGTGAAACAAGAGGGCTGTTTTCACACAAAATTAACTGGAAAAAAAATCACCTACTTCAGAGATTTTTTTCTTCCCCTTGAGACTTTAAAATCAACTTCATTTCCTTTTAAAACTTCTCTTAAATAAGGGAGAAAGGCAGGGATGTGGGTGTCTGTTCTCAGGAGCCTCGTCCAGCCTTCAGGTCACAACCCTCCAGAAAAAGATGTGATGGTCTTTGGGCCAGAGCACCACCAGAAGCTTCTTCCTTTCTATTTTTAAGACCTAAAAGTATGAACAATTTCATTTCC